CCGCCCCCGGGCCCACGGCCGGCACACGGGCTTGCTGGGCAGCTGTGTGCCGGGCCGCACGACCCGATGGCTGCCATGAGCCACACGCGAGGCGCCCTAGGAACCCTGCCCAGACGTTTGCTGGCCAGAATCAGGGGTACTGGGGTCCAAACAGCGGCGCAAGAGCAGCGAACCCCGGGCCCCGCCCCTGCCATCTTACAGAGAGGTAGCCTGACACCCAGAGTGGGAGGTGACGCCCCAGAGTCACACGCCTGCCAGCCAGAGAAGGGCCTGGCCCAGGTCCAGCGCCCACGGGTCGCCCTGGCCCTGGGCTGGGCACCTCTGCTTCCGCCTGCAGTACACCTGGGCCCACACGTCTCACTGGGGCTGGGCCTGCTGCATCTAGAGAGCAGCTGACAGCCTCCTGCCACAGCTCTGGGGACAAGCGTCCTGAGAGCCAGGGGTCTGCCCCCACTGCCCCGGGGGCAGGCGGCACGGAGCCCCCCTCAGCCCATTCCTAGCGACGGGTGTTCGCCCTGAGTCCCAGCAGACCGAGCAGGCAGGCGTGGCCACGGGACGGCGGCCACCCTTCTTCCCCTGGCACCGGAGGGCACCGCTGCTGCAGCCCCCCGCGACTCCCCAGTCACATACCAGCCTGGGTGTGGGAACCGGTACGTGGCCAGAGTCGAGAGCTCCAAAACCTTTAATTACAGAAGAAAAAAAGGCTTCACTACAGCAGTGCTAATTTCGGTGGCTTTAAATGAGTCACAAAGCTCGGTTTAACACGTCCTCCCCAGAAGGGGGTTTCGGGGGGAAATCGGAGCTCGGTCCTTGTCCCCATGGGTTGGTTCCAAATGTCAGGACTTCCTGAAGCTGAGACAGACTCTGGTCTCAGGAATCAGGGGGCCCGCACTCGTGGGGGGCTGGGGGTGGGGGACAGGGGAAGGCTGGCGAGTCCTGGGTGCAGAAGTTACTCAGTCAAGACCAGACTGAGCCCTTCTCAGGTGATCTCTGCTCCCGTCCCCAGGGGCCCACGGCTCTCCTCAGTCAGGAGTAAGTGTCGCACCAACATCGCTGCTGTGACCCACACGGCGGGCCTGGCCCCTCGCCCCTGCCACCAGCTCTGGGGAAGGAGATCGGACACCTCCCAAGAACAACCGGTGCCTGAGACGTCCCCTGCCTCCCGTCCACCCTCATAAAGATCCCACTGTTCTTAGTGGGGTTAGAGGCTGTGCCCGTGGCTGAGGTGGCCGGTTAGGGTTCCGTCCAGGCACCCCCGGGGTTGAGAGAGGTAGCCTGACCCCACTACACTCAGACGCAGAGGAAACTCAGGCTCCTGCAGCGCCCCCCATAGGCCACCCACCAAGCAACTCGCTGGGTGCGGGGAGCTAGCCCCTTTGTCACTGGAGACCTGGAGGCAGGAGCCCAAACACCTGTGGCCCCCGGCCCTCAGGGGCAGCCTGAGGTGGACACGGCGCAAAGCCGAGGTGGAGCGCGCACCCCGCCTGAGAGGCCAGCGCCTCGGCCACCTCAGACTTTACCAGCAGGATGATGGTGAGCAGCCCGTCGAATACGTTGCTAGGGTAGGACAGGTACCCCAGCAGGCCCAGCGCGAACACCTTGAGCAGCATCTCCACCAGGTAGTACAGGATGAAGACGCAGTTGAGAATCTGAAAGAGGTGGACACCCAGCGTTCGGCCCCAGTGCCGCCGGCCACAGGGCCCACACGGACACTCCGTCATTCCGCTCGGCCCGAGGGGGACCTGGGGCCTCTCAAACCCTGGCTGCCCCCTCGAGTCTCTCTACACATCCTTCCCTCCACTGCCCCCGCTGCACAGCCAACTACGCCCTGCTCACCCGGGCCTCGGCACGCAGCTTCTCTGCCCACACCAGCCCGTCCCAGCCTCCCCGGCCACGGCCTGGCACGCCCTCCTCTGGTGACCCCATGACAGATGAGTCACTCAGCAGTAGAACCGCCCTGCCTCCCAGCAGACATGGGGCCCAGGCTGCGCCCTCGCTCTGCTGGCGGACTCCCCAGCCCCCCACAGAGGGCTGCACAGCCTCGGAGCTCACCCCGAGGACGAAGTCGTCACGGTTACGGGGCGGCACGTCTGCGTCCCGCACCAGGAAGACCTGTGAAGCAGAGTGGAGGGGCTGACCGCCGGCCTCCCCGAGGCGACCCGCAAGGCCACGGCGGGGAGTGGGAGGGCGCCAGGCGCGGGCACCCCGCACTCACGCAGATGGACACGAGGTTCGCAAGGACGACGGCGTTCCCCAGGTAGTCGAAGCAGCGGTGGCCGAAGAGGAACTGGGCGCTCTGCAGGAACGGAGACCGGTACTCGGGCCGCGGCGGGTGCTGGGGGCGGGGGACACACGCGTGCTCGGAAACGTGGGCCGGCCGGCCGGGGCCGGGGCCACTGGGGGCCCGACAGTGCCCGCACCCCCGATTCTGGGGTTCGGCTTTCTCTGACCTTCCCGCCTATCCCACTCTGCCCCACCTCAGAAGTCACCCCGCACACAGAGATGCTTCCACGCACGAAGATGCTCATCGCAGCCTTTAACACAGCGAGAGCGAGGTCGAAACCAGCTCGACGCCACCGAGGCCGCACGGAGGCCGCGACGGGCTCTTCCACAGTCAGCTTAAACGTTTGCAAAGTGTTTGCCGTGACGCGTTACGCGAAAAAACAGGAATTCTATCTGAGAATGATGAAAACAGAGCGAAGCAAAAGAACCCTGGACAGACAGGCGTGGGACGGCAGCCAAGACGGACGCGGAGACCGCACCACGGGCGCCAGGTGACCCCTGCGGCAGTGAACGGGGAGCCGCCCGGCCGGCCCCGGGCGCCCACGCAGCCGGGACGCAGCACGAGGGGGCCCGCGCGGGTACGGGCCACCGACCGCGCAGGGCCCTTTAAATCCGGTCCGCGTGCACACTCAGCTGTCACAGCAGTCACGTTTCAAGGGCTCAACGGCCAAGCGTGACCCGTAGCTACCATATCGGACGGGCGGGTAGAGAGCATTTCATCCTCACAAAAAGTCCCATAGGAACATGGAAAGATCTGGAAGACACTGCTGCATATAAAAGAGCAAGCTGCAGAGTGGCTATTACGACACCTCATACGCACGTCCCCGAAAAAGTGCATCTATGCGCCTCTAATTCAGGGGAAGGTCTGGCAGGAAATCACAGACGTCACACTGAACAGGGAGGCGCCCCTGGAGCAGGACCCCCCCGGCTGTGCGCGTCCCCAACCCATGGCCTCTCGACTCCCAATCCGTCTTCGACGCCCACCCTGCCACACCGGGCAGGGTCCTGGCGTCGCTCGTCTACAGGAGCACGAGGACAAGCCTCCCCGGCAGAGGCACGGTGGTCAGCAGCGTGGTGGGGGACGAGGACGTCTGGTGGACCTCCGTCCCAGCCACACACCGGGCACCTGCCTGCCCCCTGCC